TCGACAATTTTCTATTAGCCCAAATTGAGACCCGGTTTACACTATACCGGATTGCTATCGGAGTGGGTCAAATTTTGTAGGTATCGAAAGGTTGTGAATATTTTAATTTAATCTCAGAGACACAAATAAACATGCCTGCCAATTCTGTCAAACTAATAAGCATTCGCCACTAACTATTGCTCCGTAACGGCAAAAGAAGATGTCGTGACCAGCGAATCCGGTATAGTGTAAACAGGGCCTGAAAGTATAGTAAAATATAAAGGCCCGTGCTCAAGAACTGTTCATTTCATTGTCAGTTGTTGTGAAGCAGACATGCCGAGTATCGGACAAAATATGAATATAAACATAATGAAAATCGTAACAAAATTATGTCCGCATTATATATTTGATATTATATATATGCTGTTAATAACACAAGCTTTTTCGTGAAAGGACTGTTTAGCATTTCTTAACCTAACCGCTTTCATCACACTATACTAGAAATACATGCATGCAGCAACCCCTCGCCTTTTTCAACAGATGAAGTATAGAAATTCCATTCAACATAAAATACTCCATGTTCAAAATATTAATAGTCGCTATAGTAACATGATAATATGAGAAAATAATAGGAGATAATTTTTTACCAAAAGAATCGTTGATTTTCATAATTTGTTATTCAAAGGAATGTAGTTTTATGTCACATGTGGCTTTCAATCGGCTAAATGTTAACGTAAAATGTAACGGTATTAAGCGTTTCGAAACTTTGCCGTGGAACTGCAGGGGAAACAGAAACACTCGTTTTGTTGACAGTATAGTCAGTAGTTTGCTCGAAAATACGGTAAAATATATTTGCTTTATATAAGCAAAAGCTAGTTTTTGAGTTATACTTTGGTGAAGCCATATTTGCTGTAGGTAAAGACCATTATAAACACGCATAAAAACACTATACGCTGTATTAACTGCCCCCAAAAAACAACATTTAAAATCACTACATTTATACATTTTCATGTAAATACCAACTTGCGTAAAAATATATTATTTATTGAGTTAAATGGCATAAAAATTTCGCCGATATGAATGAAATCGAAAACACAAAGCAAGTACGGTATGAAATTTTAATACTGACTTACCCAAGATAGCCAAGAGTCAAGACAACGATTAAATTTTATGTTAAAAACATCGATGTGGTTCGTCTTCGACAAAATTCGTGTTTATCAGTTTATAACTTTATGCATGCCTTTCACACTTTGTTTCACGGTTGACAGCCACTAATTCATGAAACTGCAGGATTTTTTCCAGTTAAATAGCGAAATAGGTCGCAGAAATATATTGTAAAATATCAAAATACATCTTTGCAAAATGAAAAACAATATTTTTAGAATTTTAGTGCGAGCTATTACACGTGCATGCGCAATAACATCGAAGACCGTCCATCACATAATGGAGGACAACTTTGCACTTCGCTATGTTTTCAAACACCCGGGTGTAAATAGCCGGGCGGAATTAGTACCCTCGCACGGCGCTTCGCGCCGCCGGCTCGGGGATGATGCAATAATTGACATAATTTACCAAATTATTGGTAAGAAATACAGTAGTCACAGTATTCAAAACTATTTTCATCGAGTTTACACAAACAAAGTGCAGGGTTTTGGAAAAACAGAAGATACATGCAGATGGTCTTCTACCAGAATAATGTGTGATGTTTCCTAGAACAATCCAATCACCTACTCACTGCAGTCTTACAAGGGGAACAACTTGATGAGGCAACAATGAATTCATTGCTGCATCAATTGAAGTCTCACTGCATGCAAAACAGAAGGT